CCGATGGGTTTGGATTTGTCCTTCCTGAGGGGACCTCCCCGTCCACTGGGGATTGAGCGTGTGGTCCCTGGCTCAGGGGTGCGCTCAAAACCAGAATGGAGAGGCTGGAGGGAGTGAGGACTAGGGATGCTTCCTGCACCAGCACTTGGCACAGCTGGCAATCCTGGTGATCTCCAGGAGGATCTCCAGAGCCAGAGGATCTCCAGAGCCCACAGCCCAGTGCCCAGCTGCCACAACTCCCCTATTTTAGGAGTAGAAATCCCCCTAAAGCTGCTCCCAGTCCACCCATGCCATCAGCAGATCCAGTGTCTCCCAGCGCCAGGGGCTGCATCCAGCCCAGGACCTCTCCTCCCTAGAGAGCTCTGCAGGACCCGGGCCCCACCTCCCGGTCCTCCCAGCGTGGGAATAAATCCTCTTCTGCTCCCTAATGGTTTTATTGGCACCGAACCCAAGTCAGGGACAGATTTAGACTGATCTCCCTGCTGGCTGAGAATCCAGCCTTTCCCCACAGATGCTCTCGGCTCCCCAAAGGCAGGATGGGGACCCCAGAAGCAGCACTTGCCTTGGCCCCTCCAAACACGTGGTACCACAAACCTCTGCCTTGGGGGACCCCAGACACGAGATGGGAGCACAATGCCAAGGAAAACCAGCGCCCTGGGACCCCCACAGGGCTGGGGTCCCCCCAGCTTCTCCACTCCCCTGTGACCAGTGACCAGGTCAGGGCCTGGGACTACCCAAATCCTGCTGCCCCCAGTTCTTCTGGCAGCAGTAAGGGGTGGGGGGAAAGGGGAGAGGGGTTTGCTTGGGCATGGGGTGCAGAGCTGCCCCACAGCACTCACCCATGATAACAGCACTTATTGCATCCCACAGCACCCACCCATGCCCAAAACACCCACCTGCACCCACTCGTGCCCACAGCAGCCATTTGTACCCAAAGCACCCACCCTCCTCACTCCATGGCACCTACCTGTCCCCAAAGCACCCACCCCAAAGCACCCCACAAAACCCCCTTTGTGCCCTACAGCGCCCAGCCACGCTGCGATCACCCTGCAGTGCTCACCTGCACCCCACAGCTCCCACCCATGACCAGGGCACCCACCTGTGCTCCAACACTCACCTGCATCCCACAGTGCCCCCCCCCCCCCCCCCAGCACCCACTCGTGCCCAGAGCACCCACCCACACTCCGCATCATCCACCTCTACCCCACGCTACCCACCTACCCCCCACAGCACCCACCCGTGCTCCCACCACCGCGCATCACCCCAAATCACTCCCCACGCCCCCCTTACCGCTCCCTCCCGGTCCCGCACTACAATTCCCGGGCATCCCCGCGCCAGCACCGCCCCCGCCGCTCCCCGCCCGCTCCCGCCTCTCCCCGCAGCACCATGGCCGCGGCCCCGGTGCCCGAGGGGGCTCCGGTGGAACCGCACGACAGGTAAGATCCCGCATTCTTTTCCCCGGGATAATCCCTCCGGAAAGGACCGGCACCGCAGTGCCCCGGAGCCGCCGGTTCCCCGTTCCCGCCGCGTCCGGGGCGTTGCGGTGCCGGTCCCGTCCCCCACGATGCCACTTCCGCGAGTGGGGCCTCCCCGAGCCCATCGCACCATTAAAACCCTTCGCCTTTCCCACCAACCACTATTTTTTCCCACCCCCACCTTATACCTTGTTTATTTTCGTCCCCCCTTTTTTTTTTCCTTCACATGATCACCTTTCTCCTTATTTCCCTTATTTTATGGTTTTTGCCCTAAATTTCCCAGCAGATAAACCACAGCTCCCATTTTCCAAGCTTGCTGGTACATGCATCCCCTCCATCAAGCACGAGGAGTGGGACAACCTAAACTTTTACACCCAAAAACCCCATCCAGGGCAATTCTGACAACACACACTCTCTCTCTCTCATGTTTTCCCTCCATTTCCCACCCCCTTTTCCAGCTCAATCCTCAGGGGTTGAGGAGAGTGGCTGCTCCCAAACATCAAATGTCTGGCAATTGGATTTGGAGCATCATCGGAGTGCTGATGATGTGGCAAAGCTTATAGGGATGGAATATCCCTGCATCCCTAGTTGTAGGGTACCAACACCCCACCACACCGACCGACTGACCCCAGAGTGAGTGCCAAACCATCCCGCGTGTTCCAGGAGCTAAATCCGCTGCTGGCAGCTGCCTGTGCCTTTCCTGTGAGTCAATGGTGGGTAGCAGGGAGGATGAGGATGAGGATGAGAGGAAGGAGCCTCCTGGAGTCATGCCAACCAAGCGAGGGATGAGTAACGGGGTTGTGTAACAGAGCCCCTTCCACCGCGGCTCCCGCTCGGTATAAATAGCAGCGGATAATTGAGTTTGAAGAGGGAAATGTTTGTCCTTTTGTGGTGAGGGAGCAGAGACCATAATGGAGCTGGAAGGAAGCGTGTGTGTGTGTGGAGTTGCTGGGATGAACCATCTGGCTCTGGGTGGCTCTGGCCAGGGCAGAGGTTGGTACAAGGCCAGGTAAACTGGGAGTGATGTGATGGGTTTGCAGGATGTGCATGGATATGGCACGGCATGGGCACGGCACGGCGTGACCACCAGGCAGTGTCTTGGTGCCCCTGGATCCCCACTGGCAGTGGGGTGGCAGCCAGGTTCCTCCATCCCATGACCGGGTTCCTCCATCCCTTGTGCAAGTCCCTCCATCCTCTGGGCAGGCTCCTCCATCCCACGGCTGAGGTCCTCCATCCCTCCGGCAGGTTTCTCCATCCCTTGGGTGGGTTTCTCCATCACGTGGGCGGGTTCCTCCATCCCCTGGGATGGTTCCCCAGACAGGCAAGGCCCATCCAAGGGCTGACACACATAGATCCAGCCCAACAAAGCCCAGCTCAGTGATGGAGGAAGCAGATTTGGCCTCCACGCTCCTGCAGGTGCTGCTTGCAGGGTGGGATCTGGGAGCAGGACCCTCTCCCAGGAACAGACATCCCTCTGTTTTGGGCTTGGTGTGTCCACATCTCTTCCACCTATCCAGTGACAATATGCATGACCAAACCAGGAAAAGCCACGTGCAATCCAGCTTCCATCTTTAAATTCTGTGGGAAACCCATTGCTGGGAGGGAAAGGGGATCCTGGCCTTTGTGTCTGGTTTCCTCTTCCTCACAATTTTAAGTCCAGCTCTTGGAGGCTGATTAGAGGAGGGATTTGTGCTTAAAAATCGTCTAGAAGGAAAAAAGGCCAAAACCAGGGACTTTTGGCCTGTGTGAGAGCTCAGCAACCGTGAAGGGACTTGGGAAGCAGAGAGATTTGCAGAGGAGCGTGTGCCAGGAGGAAGGCTCCGTTGCTGCTGAGGTTTGGAGGCAGTGCGGGCGATTCCTGTCCCACCTGGGAATCTGGCGGGGATGTTGAGTGGGATGCTGGGAGAGTTGCTCCTGTCACTTGGACATTTTAACAAAGGCAGGAAAAGTGGCAGCAGGAGCAATGCGATAAGGAACAATATCCCTGGGCAAGGGCTCCTCGTCCCGCGTCCCTTTGCTTTTTTGCTTCTTTAATGAGAAGGAACAGAAATGGCTCCGGAAGAGAATTTTATTTTTAAACTTCTGAGAGAGCTTTTACAGCAAGAGGAGAGTCTGGGCAGAGATCAGAGGTGGAAAAGTTCCTTTGATCATCGCTCACTTCCCTGATGTCAGGGCAGCAGCTGCGGCTCACACTGGGGACAGGTTACCCCAAAACCCTCCTGTCCCTGTCCCCTGCTTCAGGACCAGCCCCTCATCCCTGGTTCCTATCAGGTCTCCATCTTTTGGAGCGATGATCTCCTCTGCAGGTCCTGTTGGTGAGCAGGAGCAGGAGGGGGCTGATGCCCCCCTTGTTCAGGAGGGGTTTGCTGAGGATGGCAGGATGCAGTGTGTGACCCCTGCCTCTGGCATAGCCCTGATGGCTCCAGAAGATGGAGGAGGGGGAAAGAGTCCTCTTCCACTTCTGGCCCCATCTCCAGGTGTTGGTGCTAAGCAAGAGGGAGCACCCACCCCAGACCCCCTCAGCTTAGAGTCCGAGCTCCCATCTCGGGAGGCTGGAGTCTTACTTGGTGACCATGGAATATCATTGGGATGCTCCATGTCCCTGGCAGAGCCTGGCTGCCCTCAAGGTGCCCTCTGCCACCTTCTTCCTTCCTCAGCAGCCAGGGGCTGTGGGGTGGGGGCTGCTCTGCCCCAGCCCCTGCACCCCAGGGCTGGCTGGGATCCCCCTGCTGTGGTGCCCAACATCTCCCACCCTTGGCATGTGTCCTGCCTGTCAGTGGCTGCCTGGCTTCCCGCAGGATACCCAGGCTCCCTGCCCTCCCTGGTGAGCCTGACGCTGGGAGAGGAGCCGGCCGGCCTGGGGGGGGGCAAGGGGCAGCTGGCAGGGGGTGCTGAGGGAGCGGATGGCTGGGCACAGCAGCCAGCAGGACGTTATTCTTAGCTGCCTACAGCTCTGGGGTGTTGAGTTTCACCCACTTGTTTACTTCAGGGCTGAGGGGACAGTGAGGGGCAGCTCTCGGGGAGCTGAGTGACTGGGGAGGGGGGAACTCACAGCTGGACCCCCACCGATGGGAGCTCAGGGAAGGGGATGAGTCCTGCACCAAAAAGCCAGGCACAGCCAGCAGCCCCCTGGCCCTGAGCCCCAGCTGCTCCACCAGCTGCACGTGGGGTACTGTCTGGGTACCCCCTCCATCCCTGCCCAGGGGTCATCCCCTCCTGCCCCCCTGCAGACCCCTCCCCACCAGTGTCAGGAGCCCACTGGGGACTCACCAGTGCCCGTGGATGTGGATGTCACTCACCAGGTGCCCTCCCTGCTGAGCCCCCTCGTCCAGGGCAGTCAGACACCCCCGGTCCTGGGGAGCAGAGGCGCCGGGGGCTGGTGTTTATTGCGTGTGCTGGGGGCGGTGAGGGGAGGTGTCACTTCATCCCCGACCCCCCCGCTTTTTTTTTAATCAAGCCAGTGCTATTAATATCAGGTAATGAACGTAATCTGGAGGTTAAGCTATCCTCTTATGCTGCTGACCGCTGCGCAGCTCCCAGACGCAGACACTCCCCCGGCTCCGCTCGCTTCTCCTGCCTCCATCTTCCAGCCCCCTGGATCTGCCGGGGGTCTGTGTCAGCCCGGCCTCTCAGGACCCTGCAGCCCCAGTGCCGGGGGGGTTGGTCCGTGCATGGCTCCGAGCCCCGAGGCTCGCCCGGCTGCCTTCCCACCCTGGTAGTGCCAGAGATTGGGGACAGGAGCCGAGGTGCGGGCAGGGACAGGGAGTGACACCCTCTGTCCAGGACCACCCCCAGCTCAGCGGTGGGGGGAGATGAGCAGCCCCCCAGCCTTCTCCAGCGTCCGCATCTCGGGCTGCTGGGCCCTCGGGCCGGATGGCGGGTGAGTTTTGCCTCATTTTTGAGTACATTTTACTGGTTTTCACCTGTTTGCTTGCTGGAGCGAACCCTCGGTGGCCGCAGTCCCAGTCTCCCAGCTCCAGTTCCTGTCTTCTAGATGGCTGAGGGCTATGAGAGTGCAGGCAGCAGCCTGGAAAAGATCAGTTTCCCATGGGACACGGCTGTGGCCAGCCAGGCACCTCGGCAGGCTCAGGGGGCTGCTGGGGGGCCCTGAGGGCTGGGAGCTCGGTCAGTGGGTTGTTTACAGGGTGCAGAGCCCAGGACATGCTCTCCTGTCCACTGCCAAGTTCAGGTTTGGGGCTGTGCCATCTTTCCTTGCTGCTGTAGGCGCTGCTGGGACCTGCTGCCTTTCTCAGCCTGGCCCACCAGGGATCCAGGGTGGTCAGGGGTCTCTGAAGGCAGCAGAATGCAGAGAGCTGAGCACAGGGCACAGGGCTGGGGATGGGAGCGCAGTGGGGAAGGAGAGAGGTACCTCTCACACCTCGGTAAATCCATGCTTGGACTAAGCAGGAGCAAAATGCTTCCTTCATTAGCACGGCACGGCAGCAGGGCTGGAGAGCCCTTGTGGGGAGCAGACCCCCTCCACCAGGCTTCCTTGAGGAGGCTCCAACGAGGATGCACCAGCTACAGGGAAGGCAGAGCATCCCCAAAAGCTGGGGACAGCCTGTGGAGAGGCCTTCCAGGTAGGTTTGGCAGGAGAGGGGTTACCAAGCCAGGGTGGTGTTTCCTTTCCTATTTGCCTGGGTGTGGTACTGAGCTGTTAAACCCCACCAATCCACGGCGCTGAAGAGGGTCCATGTGGGACAAGGAATGGCATGGACTCCAGCTCTAAACAGAGTCCCATTCTCTCAGGGCTCTGCAGGTCGGACATTGTGGGAGCTTCATCACTGCTACAGGGAATTTTAAAAAGGGATAGGGAAGAACGACCAGCGGAGATGGCTTGGATCAGCCATCCCTTTGGAGCTGGGAAGAGCCCCTTTCTGGCAAAGGCAGAAGTGGAAAACATCTACAAATCTTGAAGTGTAACACTAGGAGAAAAGGCATGACCTTTGGAGAGCTCTGGGACAGCCCCGCAGACCGCCCCACAGCCCTCCTTCTCCCACGTAAATCATGGGAAACGTGGATTTGAGAGGTGTAGAATATCTGCCTCCTGTACAGGCACCAACAGTGTAGATGATATCGATAGAAATGTGTAGAATTTTGGTGAAAACCCAGAAATATTTGGATGAGACAAGGCAAAGCACCAACTCTTGGAACAGGATTAAAGTGCTGCATTCCAGAGTAGCCCCAGGTGTGTGTGAGGGGCTCTGCTCCTTTCCCAGGGGTGCATGTCCCTACATCCCACAGGAATGTCCCTTCTGTGCCAACACCCTGGGTGTGCTGTGGGCACCCAGGAGAGCAGAGGGGAGGGGTGACACTTGGGAAGGCAGGACAGAGCTGTGGCCATTACCTGTAATTCTGGGCACTGCCAGAGCCATCAGGGTCCAAACCTCCCTGTCCCTGCCAGGAGCTGGATGATGTCGATGCTGGTCAGAGGCAGCCTTGCTCTGAAAAACAGAGCTTTGCCCAACTCGGAGTCACTTTGGGAATGATGGCCTAGGTCAGGATCTGCGATCTGGCAGAGCAGAACTTGTCAGTGTGTGACCCCAAGGAGCAGAGCATCCCAACAGGCTCGCCTGTCGCATGGAGACCGGCGTGCATTCCCAGAGGAAAACCAACCGAGCAGCCCACGGCGCAGCGCCAGTGGCAGAGCTCTGGAGTAACCACGGTCCCAGGAGAGGGACCGGGATGCGGATGAAAGGAACTGCTTTATTTTTCTGGTAAACAACTGTGGTTTTGTCATCTCTGCTTTTATCAAGCCAAAGTGACTTTGTTCATGCACCAGCACCGCCGACTGCTTGTCAGCCCCACTCTGGGAATAGCACCATTGGGAGAGGAGACCCATATATCCCATCAGGGTTTGCTGCTCCTGGTGGACAGAACCATTTTGGTAGACACCCCAGAAGGTTTCCTGATGGGTCTCACTTCCTGAGATTGCTTTTTAAAAGTGATAGTTGGGGTGTTCCTGGCTCCTGGTTGGAGCTGGCCATGTGTGCTGATTGCCTCTGGCAGGGGATGGGGAATTGATGGCTTGAGGCTCTTGTGGGGCACTCTGTGGGTGCACACCTTCAGGTGGGCATCGGTGGGAGAGGTCCTGGCACAGGAAGCTGCAGCCTGCCTTTTGTTAGCAGGAGTTCAGCAAAGTCAGGCAAATCCCTGTCTCCTTGCCCACTCCACAGGGATGTGCTGGTGCAGGAGGTAGGGATGGTTTCCTGGGGGGATCCTGCTGTGCCCAGGGGGTTTGCCAGGGCGATCCCCACTGTGCCCGGCAGGTTTGCCATGTCACTTCATGCACAGATGGCCAGTCTGAAATTTTGATCTTTATCTAACATTGTTCTAAAAGGGGCTCAGGGAGGGAAGGGAATTAACCTTCATACCAAAACAGCTTAAAATCAACCCAAAATCTGTAAAGCCCTGCAGTTTAAGCCCTTTCAAAAGCAAACCGTAACAGAGCGGCAGCAAAGCCCCCCTGGCTCAGCTGGGCTGTACCAGATAGTGCTGGTTTTCAGCCATTGGTGCCCAGATCTCTTGGTTTCCCTTCCAACCCAGTCATGGCTGGAGAGAAGAGCAGCCTGAGCAGGGAGGAGCCCTTTGCACCTTCTCCCAGGGAACAGACATCCCTCTGAGGTAGCAGAGCACAAGCAAGGAGGAGAGGGCACTGGTATAAATAATCCTCCCTGTGCCTGTGCTGGCTGGGCAGTGGCTGTAGCTTATCTCCTGGCCAGAGGCCACTTATCATTTCCCAGCCACTGCTCTCCCACTGCCAAGCTGGAAAGGGCTCAGGAGGGTGTGTTGTTCCTCTCCCTCCCCGGGGCTGCAGTGGGAGGGTAGATAAGGGAGAGGAGCCTGCTCCAGGGCTTCAGGTGAGCTCCGAGCTTGCCCAGCTCCCAAGGCAAAGCTGATGCCAACATCTTGGCAGTCCCACTGCCTGGCTCTGCCCAGCTCACAGGCTTGTCCCCAGGGGCTTCAGGACAAAGGAGTGGGAGAACTAGAGGTTGAGTTGGAGTGCAGTGCTCAGAGTGGGGAGAGGAATGGAATTGGGGGTGGAGGGGATGAGGACAGTTTAGCTGTAGCCAACATGTTTGACTTCTATCCCCAGGAAAGGTCCCTTGGCACATCAGAATGGGTTGTTGTTCCCTGTAACACACCCCTCCATGTTTTGAGAGCTCACTGGGCAGTTTATTTCACACAGACCTTCCCCAGGCAGCAGGACTTTAGGGAGGGAGGTTTGCATTGCCCCTGTTCCAGCTTAAAACTGCTCCTGTGTAAGAGTTCCTCAGGGTTGGCCATGGCCCGGTGTCACAGAGGTGTGGGTGCTGGTAGTGCTGCAGCAGGGCTGTGGCTGCCTCTCCCCCTCTTCCATTGCATCCCTCATCCATGTGGTGTGGGATCCCCTCAGGACCCTGCTCCCACACACCGGGAACATGTGTCCTTCCCTGCTCCCAGTAACTGCTCTCCTTCCTCTCACCATCCCCAGTAACAGCAGTGCTGAATCCCTGGACCGGCTGTATCCCACAGTGGGCTCCACCAAGCCCCCCCGGAAGCGGACCACCAGCCAGTGCAAGTCTGAGCCCCCACTGCTGCGGACCAGCAAGAGGACCATCTACACGGCGGGCCGGCCACCGTGGTACAACGAGCACGGGACACAGTCCAAGGAGGCCTTTGTCATAGGTAGGACATCTCTACACTGCCCAGGCAGCATCACTGCCACCTGCCCTGTGGGTTTTCAGGAGATCGTGGGGGGATTCCTGCCACATTGCCTCCTTGGAATTTTGGGGTTGGCTCCAGCCCAAACAGGAGCAGGGAGAGTCCCCTTGGTTAGCCCAGCACTGACTGGATGGGCTGAAACCAAGAGTGTGCAGAGGGGCTGGTGGATTGTAGCAGACCAGAGTCTTTGTTGTTCCCTCAACTCCTGTTGCCTGGGCTGTCACGAGTTCCCAGGGATTTAGCCTGGGCTGGTTCCCATGCCAGCTCTCACCGTGTTACACAACCATCTAGTGAAGGGTTTCCCAGCTTTTGCTGGGCATGTTGCTGGCAGTTCCAGTACATGCCACTTGACTTTTTCAAGGATAATCTCTTGGAGTGCCTATGATTTCCCTCTTTGAAGGTTCCTCCAGCTTAGTGCAACAGTGCAGGACCTGGGCTCCAGCCTGTGGTGGGAAAGGCTGTGCCCGGGGTTGATGACTCCATTCCCTTTTCCCTGGCAGGCCTGGGAGGAGGCAGCGCCTCTGGGAAGACCACAGTGGCCACCATGATCATTGAGGCTCTTGATGTCCCATGGGTGGTTCTGCTGTCCATGGACTCTTTCTACAAGGTGAGGCTGCACATGGCCCTGGCCAGGCTCCTCAGGCTGCCGTGGCCCTTGGGATAACCCTTGGGTGATGGGGCCCTGACACAGGTTGCCCAGAGAAACTGTGGCTGCCCCATCTCTGGAAGCATCCAAGGGAAGAGGTGACTGGGCACAGCACTGGGGAGGGAAGTGCACAGCCACATGCCCTAAGCTCTGCTCTGTGGCAGGTGCTGACCAAGCAGCAGCAGGAGCAGGCAGCCAGCAATGACTTCAACTTTGACCACCCCGACGCCTTTGACTTTGACCTCATCATTGCCACTCTCAAGAAGCTGAAGCAAGGCAAGAGTGTCAAGATCCCCATCTATGACTTTACCACCCACAGCCGCAAGAAGGAATGGGTATGGGACACTGAGGGGGGTGGGACATGGTGGGGGACGGCCAAGGCAGGGGAGAGGGAGCCAACTGGACCCCTCCAGCCCCTGCCTTTTGCAGTCAGATCTGTGCTGTCACCCTCTGCCCTGTGCCTGGCTCAGGGCACGTTTTTGGGTGAGCTGTCGCAGTCACTCACAATCCAGAGAGGTTCCCTGGGATGAGGCATCTCTGAACAGATGTTCTGTGCTTAACCACATCCATTTTGACTCCACAGAAAACCCTGTATGGCGCCAATGTGATTATCTTTGAAGGCATCATGGCATTCGCAGACAAGGAGCTCCTGAAGGTGAGGAAGGGTTTCTAAGCAGTTCTGGCAGGAGATGGTGGGAGGATGCTTTCTCCTGAGGTCCAGCAACAGGGAGGTATAACCTTCCAGGTTATACCAGCTCCTATAGAACTTCCCTGTGCAGGAGAAACAGGCTTTGACTCTGCAGCAGCAGGGGAAGAGCCCTGGCAGAGGTCAAATGTTTCAGTAAATACCTCGATCTCAGCTATTTGTGCCCAGGAACCAGGAGCTGTGCTGAGTGGTGACCTGGTTCCTGGCAGTGCTGATGCATAAATACAACTAGAAATAGCTCACCTCCACACTGCTGCAGCTTGCATAGCCAGAGGCAAAGTCTGCTGAACTTGTAGTGCACAAACCTGGTGTTCCTATCACGGACTCATCCAGCAGTTCAGGCTTTCTTGGGAATTATTTGGACACATCACAGAATGGTTTAGGTTGGAAGGAACGTTAAAAGAACATGCAGTTCCACCCCCCTGCCATAGGCAGGGACACCTTTCACTAGACCAAGTTGATCCAAGCCCCATCCAACCTGGTCTTGAACACTTCCGAGCATGAGGCAGTCACAGCTTCTTCTTTGGCAACCTGTGTCAGCACCTCACTACCCTCACAGAGAAGAATTTCCTCCTAATCTCTAATGTAACCCTGCCTTCTGTCAGTTTGAAGCCATTCCCCCTTGTCCTGTCACTCCAGGTCCTTGTCCAAAGTCCCTCTTCAGCTCTCTTGGACCCTCTTTAGGCACTGAAAAGAGCTCTAAGGTCTCCTCAGAGCCTTCTTTTCTCCAGACTGAACAGCCCCAGCTCTCAGCCTGTCTCCATAGCAGAGGTGCTCCAACCCTCAAAGCATCTTCACAGCCCTGACAAATGCTCCATCAGACAGTGAGCCATGCACAGACTTAGCCAAATTCTGTTTAAAAAGTTCTCTCCCCTGCCAAACAAGCACTTGGGTTGCACTTTTCTGGAGCAAGGATGACCTCCAGTGGACAGCTGAGTGAATCCCCCAGGAAACTTTCCTCAGCATCCCTGCTCCTGCCTCTTGAAAGTAAGGGCAGAGTCATGTGCTGGCCTGCTGTGCTGGGCTCCTTTCCAGTGTTAATTCCTTGCCTATAGAAAGGGCTTGGAATGAGATGATCTGTAAGGTTCCTTCCAACCTAAACCGTCCCAGGATTCTATGTTTAAGAAGCCAGTGCTCCTGGGTGGACCCTGTTGGTCAGTGTTGTGGACAGTAACTCCTTTTGTCTCCTTGCTCCTAAATAAGATCCAACCAATGTGTTGGAGCTGGTCAGTAGTGGGGACAGGGTTTGGAGCAGGACAGGTCTCAGAGGGCACAGGAGTAACAGGCAGATGGCAGCAAGGGACTCACTGCAGCACCAGCCACCTTCCAAGGAAAAGCTCCTCCAAAGCTGGAGCAGAGCTGGGCGCTGTTAAACGGGAGCTGTGCTGAGCACGGGGGGAAGGTGGGTTGAGTCACACACCTGACCCGGTGGGGTTTGTTCCCTCCCCTCCCACTTCAGCTGCTGGATCTGAAGATCTTCGTGGACACAGACTCGGACATCCGCCTGGTGCGCCGCCTGCGCAGGGACATCAGCGAGCGCGGCCGGGACATCGAGGGTGTCATCAAACAGTACAACAAGTTTGTCAAACCCGCCTTCGACCAGTACATCCAGCCCACCATGCGCCTCGCGGACATCGTCGTCCCCCGAGGTACCTGCCCAGGGCTGGCCTGACGGGCAATCCCTCAGAGACCCCGTCCCTCTGCCCTCAGCTCTGCTGGCCAGTCCACCCCCCTCCAGCTGGCAAGGACAGAGTGGCTGTCCCATGCCAAAGCAAAGGTCCCTCCAGCCAAGTGTCTCCAAACACTGGCCAAACACAGGTTCCATGGGGAAAGTCTGGACTTTTCCCTCAGCCAGCCTCCTGCCCTGCCACGTCCTGGCAGCACAGCGATTGAAGAGCTGGAGGTGACTTGTAGATATCCAGTAACAGATTATTGAATAAGGGTTTAATAAAAGCAGGAATGTCTCCTGCTTTGCTAGGAAAGGGCTCTTTGGGGAAGCAGGGGTACAGTGTGGTTTTGAGCACAGTGGGGAATTTGAGGAAGAAACGTGGAAGAAAATTGGTCCTGACCAAGGTGACTCTCCTTTTTCTGGTATTAAATGACAAGACAAATGGAAAGGACCTCAAGTTGAACCAGAGGAGTTTCAGATTGGGTATCAGGGAAAATTTCTTCACCAAAAGTGCTGTTAAGCCCTGGCACAGGCTTCCCAGGGCAGTGGTGGAGTCACCATCCCTGGAGGGATTTAAAAGATGTGTAGTTTTGGCACTCGGGGACATAATTTAATGGTGGGCTTGGCAGTGCTGAGGGAGCGGTTAGACTCGATGACCTTAGAGAGCTTTTCCAACCTTCACAATTCTGTGATTCTATAATTCTTTTGCTTTTGGTTCACTCCAGGGAGTGGAAACACCGTGGCCATCGACCTGATTGTTCAGCACGTCCACAGCCAGCTGGAAGAGGTAAGAGCTGCTGCGTGGTGAGGAAGGTTCACAGCCTTGCCTGGCAGCGGTGGCGTTGCTGGGAGCTGTGCTCTGGGTGCCCAGGTGGGAATGGCCTGGCTTCCTTTGTGCTCCAGGTGTGGGAGTCTCTGTGAGCTCCTCCCAGCCCTCTCCCTCACTCCAGTGAAGGAAACTGCCTTGTCTCTGTTTTCTGATTAGTCATGGCTCCTCTGCCAGCTGTGTCCAGCAGCAAATTTCTTCCCTACCTGGGAGAGCACATCATCAGGGGACAAATCAACCATCCTTCTGTGATCCAAGGGATGTGCCCCCTTGCCTGCAGCCCTCCTGGGGCAGCATCGCCCCAAACTCTCCACTCCTTCAGCTCTTGGGCTTCTCCTCTTCCCCCCTGTGCAGGTGCTGCTGCACAAGTCTTTCCAGTCAGGAGTCCACTTTTCCACTTCCGTGTTGAGTGCAGGCCCTGGATTTCAAAACCCCAAGTCTTATCAGTGTTTGAGCCCTGATCCAGGCACGTGCTCCATCACTTCCCCACCACTGGCATTAACAAGTCTTCTCCCGTGTATCCCAGGCCAGTCCTGACTGGTGGTTTGTGACCCTGTGATCAGCTGATGCTGTTGTGTGTTGCTGTCATCGAGCAGCACAGCCTCCTCCCACCCCACAGCTGTAGCTTAAGTGATGTTTCAGTCATGGAGTTGCTCAGAGCGATCTCCTGGGAGGTGGAAGAAGCATGACCTGGAGATGGATGCACCTCAAAGTAAAGGGCTTGATTCCTTCGAGTCTTTTGGAGGTCTCAGATGGCAGGAGCTGCTTGGCCTTGGGATGGGAGCTGGCACACCACAGCATCCTGCTTCCCATGCCTGCTCGGGAGGGACCACTCTTGAGCAAAGGTGTCTTGGCAAGTTCCCTCTCCCAGAGCACCTGACTGCCTGGATTCCCAGCACTATGCTCTGGGAGGTTGGGAATGTGGTTTCTAAATCCTTGGTCACAGGAGGAAGGATCAGAGCCCTGGCATTGGTGCTAACACCAGGCTGAAGAGCTCACCCAGCCATGGGACACAGTCCAGGGGAGGGGAATATCTGTTTTTCCCTAGCCCCTGAGATCCAGCCAAGGAGTATCATGGCAAACCCAGCAGCTCCCCTGGGTGCTGCTGCGAGCCAGACAAAGGGTTGGCTTGGGGGAGGCTTTTGCAGACTTGGGGAGGGGAAGAAGGGTAAAAGGCTACATGTGAATGAAGGAAAATATTCCTATTTTTCCTTTTTTTTTGTCTTGAAACGACCCTGGTGTTGACAATGCTTAATACCGGTTGCATTGTGTCTTTGTGTTGCTGCCGCAGCGTGAACTCAGTGTCAGGTAAGAGCCCTCACTCTGTCCTGTCTGTGCAGCCGAGGCATTTCCAATGCCAGGCACTGCTTGGCCTCACCCCGACCTGCAGCGGGACTGACAGCTCGTGTAGCACACGGCCTTGTCACGCTCAGAGGTGACAAAAGGCCACCTTGTCCTTGGCTTTGGGATGGCAGGGACGGGGCTGCTCCCCAGGGATGTACCACCAGCTGGAGTGCAGACCCCTGAAGCTGGGGCAGGGCCAGGTTTGTAGCTGGGGACCCCCAGTCTCTGTGAGAAGGGAGGCTTTGCACCCTGAGATTCTCTTTTATTTCTCTTCATCCTCTAAGATGAACGGTTTTCAGAGCAACTCTCCAGCCCTGATGATTAAACATCATTATATACATAAATTATTAGATTAACCAAAGCATCTTGAAAATGAATAAAAAAATGGGTGGAGAGTGACATTTTACTTGGGCAGATAGTGATAGGACAAGGGGAACAGTTGTAAGCTAAAGGATGAGAGACTTAGATTGGATATTAGGAAGAAATTCTTCCCTGTGAGGGTAGTGAGGCCCTGGCACAGGTTGCCCAGAGAAGCTTTGGCTGCCCCAGCCCTGGAAGTGTCCAGTGCCAGTTGGACAGGGCTTGGAGCAACCTGGGCTAGTGGAAGGTCTGGGGGTTAGAATGAGATGAGCTTTAAGGTTCCTTCCAACCCAAACCATTCTGTGATCTTGAGGGTGGTGGGACCCCTCACCACACACAGGTGCTGTGCCTGATGGCACCCAAAGGAGCATAGCAGCTCCACATCACCAGAGGTACCCCCTTTCCCACTGCATCCAGAGGCTGCACAGCCATTGCTGGAGGACTGAGAAAATCCTCCTGCCCAACTCCAGCAGGATTTCTGATTTCTAGGTATCTGCAGGTAGACGTTATAACATATATGTTGATTTATTTAACCTCTTCAGCATGTGCCTCCAGATGGGACTTTGGCTCTCTTCCTTCCATTAAGGCTTTCAGGTATTTTTGTAGGAAGCAGAGGGAATGCATTACTGCAAATGGGTTTCCATTTAGATCTCCATCATTGTATGGAGATGCATAACTCAAGTAGCCCTAAAATTTACCTTTGGCATACAATGAGCTTTTAAAATACCTGAGATGAACAGGGAAGAGGCCCTGCCTTACTTATTTCTGCTTCAGCCAGTCATTTCTAGACTAGGGCAAGTGGATGTTTTATTTTATTTCTCTTTGCTTGTTTAATACCCTGGGGCCTGACATTTCCATACAGACACCTAAGCTTCCCTCTGTGTCTGGAGGTCCAGGTGGGAAGATGCTGTTTAGTATGGAGAGAAATCTGTTACTTTAAAATATGGCAGGAATAACATTAGCAAAAGCACTAATGTATGGGGGTGGTGGTGTATATGTGTATGTATATATATACATATAAAATTATATGTATATATACATATAAAATTTATATATATATATATATACACATACATATACACACATAAAATTTCCCTTCTCTCCAGGGAAAGGGGCACTCAGTACAGGTGATCTTTTTCTGCACCTTCAAAATCAGGTATTTAATATATCCATAAGGTATTAATAGTTTTATGATAGCAAGTTTGGAAAGGTAACCCTGACCTCCAGAAACACCTCTGTGATCATGACAGCCACAGCCGGTTTTATGTTCCGTTTGAGGCTCATGGTTTCCATTTATGTCTTTGACGTAAAATCTGGAAAAAATTTCCTGCAAGAGCCCAAATATGTTCCTCTGCTGGAGCCTCAGTGCTTTACTGCCACTGCTGTTTCCCCCAGCCCCTCTGTGGCTCTGCAAGAGGAACCAGGTGGATGGAGAGACACAACAAGCAAGATGTGCCTGGCGAATATGGGCTTTTCATCACAAACAATTCCCCATCCTCTTGTCTGGAATGGCTTCTTCTAAATGTCACGGTTGTTGTTCTGATGTCACCACTGTTTGCTGGCGGTGGGGACGCAGGGAGGGCTTTGTACTGGGAGGATAAAACCTGGATGCTCAGATCTGGCCCCAGTCCGAGGTGCTTCTGGAGGCTGTGCTCCAGGGATGCCTTTTCTGACTGAGGGGCTGGCTGGGACAGGCGGGGAGCGCCTTTCCCTGATGAGATCGGTGAATTCTGGGGAGTTTAAAGGAAGTGGTGCCTTCCTTGGACCTACAAGGCTTGTTTTCATCCTATAACTGCTGGCTGCTGAGGAGCTTCACTGCCTTCCCAGTTATTCCCTCAGAATACAGGTCAGACCTTAGCATCCTTGCTGCTGGGATATTTCTTGTCCAGCTTCCCCTGTGGAACTGTGCATGTGCTGGAGATGTAATTCCATACCAGCACTCCCATTCTATTCGTGCCCAGGTGGGTGTTTCTCCTGCAGCCTGGTAGCAGGATTTGGAGCAGCCAGCCCATGCCCTCCAAGGCACAGTGCTCCCAGACCAGCCTGTTCTCCATCCCTCCTGCCACACTCTCAGCATCCAGCCCTGTTCCCAGATCCAGCACTCTTTCCAGCTGATTCCCCTCGCCAATCAATATTCCCCACCCCCAAGGTCCCGATCAGCTTGGCGTGCCCTTTGCCAATTGTGTCTTTAAATATCAACCCGTGGCGCAGTTTAATAGCCCTTGTTTGAAATGTCAGCCCTGAAAGGCAGCCGTGTACGTGTTTGAAATGCCTTGACTGCATCAGCTCCTTTGTAGCTGGATGTCTCTTGTCTGCTTCCTGCTCGATAGCATGTTCCACAAAGAGCTGAGGATGTTCCCTGAAGCCTTCCTGGGAGATGGTCACCCCTTTCTCTCTCTCTCTTTCTTTCTTTTTCTTTCCGTTTTTTTTTTTCCCCTTTAAAGCTTTTGTTCTGAGGGGGAAAAATTGTTTCCAAAATAAGACATTTTCTTGACGTGCTCATGGCTGCTCGTCTGGATGTTCCGTCACAGTCCTGCCAGGCAGGAAGGGGCAGGAGGCATCAACACTCCCTCCTTCCCTCCTGGGATGGGCAGGGGGTGGCATGGCAGTGGTGGGGTGGCTACCAGAGGGGCTGAGCTCTCCCCTCAGCCTGCAGCCCTTCTCCAGGCATGGTGAGCCCAGGGCAGGTCCAGGTGAGCCCCAGGGAAGGAAGATCTTCCCAGCGGGCAGTGATGTTCAGTTCAGAGATGGGTTTCTCCCCATGTTCCCGGTGCTCTTGGCTTTCCAGGCTCTCCAAGGCTTGAGCAGATAATCTCTTCAGCATGCAGGAGGGGGACACCCCTGTGAGCCCACAAGCAGTTTGCCTGGGAGCAGGGCAGGTTGGATGAAGGTTTTGCAGGTTGGACAGAGGTTTTTGGTTTTGAGTGCCTGCACTTGCTCTGAGATTGCAGCGAAGCCCTGGGTGAGGGCTGGGCATGAGCCCTGGAAATGTTCAAGGCCAGGCTGGATGGGGCTTGGAGCAGCCTGGTCTAGTGGACCTGCCCATGGCAGGGAGGATGGAACAAGATTATCTTTAAGGTCCCTTCCCACTCAAGTCATTCTAGGATTCTATGGTTCTATGCCCCTCCGGGCTCCAAGAGCTTCTGTTGCAGTGTGGTATTACCCAGGACAGAAGTGGGACAGTGTCCTACCATGTCTCTGGAGCAGTGGAGCCGGTGCTGTGGAGAGCAGCGGTGACATGACTTGGTCATGAAGGGAGGAGCACTGGTTCTGCACAGTGATGGCCTGGGCACCAGGCAGGTCCAAGAGTCATTGATCAATTAGGGGATTTTTTCCCCCTTTGACTAATGAGAGTGCTTTCTCCTCTGTTTCATGTCCTGTTTGTCCCTCTCCCCTTAAACTCTTGTGTCTCCTGTCTTGTCTCCCCTGAACATCCCTCCCACCGGGTGACCAGAGGAAGCTGCGCTGGGATATGTGAGGAGACAAACGCTTATGGCAGTGTTTTGGTTGTGACACTAATGGCGGGGAGTGGGCAAGGGCTGTGCAGGGTGAGCTGCCTCACTAACCCGGGCTGGGGGTCTTGGGGCAGACAGCTCATAGGGTCCCGCTTTGCTGGGGCTGTGTGGACCAAACAGGGGTGGAGGCACTTGAGAGAGCAGCTTTATCCCAAAAATGGGACCTGTTCCCCCAGAAAGTACTATAGGGACCCCCGCAGCACTGAGTGGCTTTCAAGCAGGATGGCATCCAGACCTCCCTGTCCCTGCACTGCGTGGGTGTCACAGGAAGGTGCAGAAAACTCAGTGACAGAATGCTGACAGCATTTCCTGGGGGCCTGTTGACAGCTCAGAGTTCAGGGGCGGTGTTCCCACCGCTCACGGAACTTGGAGCACTCACTGGTATCTGCAGCAGGGAGCAGGAGCTGGGCTCACACCAGGGCAGGAAAGGGGCTGCCTGTCCCACTGGCATGGCAGGATGCTGGTACATAGACCTGGCAGTGATGGAGGGGAGAGGTGCAAGCTCATTCCTGTGCCCCTGGGTGGGCTCTGGTGGATGGAAGATGACCCCAACAGCTCCTCTGGTTTGGGCAGCAGCAGTTTGTCACCTGGGCAAACCCAGTGGGGGCCATAAACAGGTGTGTGGCTGTTTGTTGAGGGTCCCATCTCTGCCCCCCTAAAGCAGGCAAACAGGCAGCCCCTGTGCAGGCACCATCTGCCCAAAGCAGGGCTCATGCCCTCACCCACTGCGTGGGCACCCTGGGGGGCAGGAGGGGTTTAGGCAGGGCTTTGCCCCCAGGATCTGTTCCCAGACCAGGTCTGGCAGGAGGAGGGAAGGGAGGACTGTGGGGGCAGAGCTGTGGGTGCTGCTGGCAGCACAGCTCTGGTGTGGGAGTGGCTCTGACAGCAGCTGATCCGCGGGGCAGCGACTAACGGGGTGAGCTCGCTTCACTGACAGCAGGCCCGGGGCCTTGAGGGCTGCTTGTCCCAAACCAGTGATGGGCTCTGCAGGCAGCAGGTGAGCCCACGATGGGACTGCAACCCATCCGTGCTCCCCACATGGCTGCCAGCTGTCCTGGCTCTCCCGAGCATTCTCTGCATGGGGGCTCCTGGCTGCTACACAGGACTGGAGCTGGCAAAAGCAAGAAGGAGCCCTTAAGTACCCACAGGCCTTGGGAATGTCTCGTTTGGTGTTGGTTGGCCAAGACCAAGAGATGGCTTTGTGGATGGAGGCCTCAAGTTGCCTAGCTCTGCCCTCCTCCATGCCTACCCATCTTCTCTGTCCTTCTCTCTGCTTGCGTGCCTCTGTGTGCCATTAATCCAGGTTTCTGCTTGATTTCAAATCTTAATCATGCGGTGCTTTCATTTGCTCTCTTCTCCACCTCCCCAACATCTCTCTGACTGGGATGCAGCTGCTGGCACGTGTGTGATCTGACGTGTGGTTTTCGGACCCCAGCCCTCCTCCCAGACAAAGTTACTTGTCCATCCTGCCCAGCCTTGTGGAAACCAAATGTGTCCTTCCTCTCATTATTGCTGCTCTCACAGGGAGAGGTGACTAATGGGGCTCCATTGTGCACTTCCCCAGGAATGGTGTTCCCTTGATCCAAGAATAGCTCCCAGCCCTGTTTGTTATGTGGAATGAGTCACACAGAGCCATTCCTGTCCAGCCATAAAATCTTGAAGCTGTTCCCACTTTGGAATGGACCAGGTACTCTCTAAAATAGTCACGTTCCAGCCATGTGCCAGTGCAACACCTGGCCCTTGTAGGACAGAGACAACCACAAGAGCCCCTCCTCACCCCATGAGTCCAGGATCCATCACCAAATAAGACTCCAGAACAGGAAAAGGTTTAGAGGTTATTTTCTACTTTCTTCCCAACCAGTGAAAATCAAGATGGGCCAACCACCTTCAGAGAAGCTGTGGCTGCCCCATACCTGGAAGTGTTCAAGGCCAGGTTGGACAGGGCTTGGAGCAATCTGTTCCAGTGGAAAGTGTTCCTGCCCATGGCAGGAGGCTGGAACGAGATGGTTTTTAAAGTCCCTTCCAACTCAAACCATTCTATCAACCATGGGTCAGCTGCCCAGCAGGTCCTTGGGCTGCAAGGTCCCACTAACTCCAGTGCTCCCCGTTCATGGGAGCAGGTCCCTTTGCCATGGCAGGGGACCAGGCAGGGCTGGCTGCTCACTCGGCTCAGCTGGATGGGCTTGGTGTGTGTTTGCAGTGTGAGATGATGACATCTGGGAGGATGGCTCTGGCCGTGTGCTGTGCTCCAGCCTTCGGGCAGCCTTCCCCAGACCTTCTGACCGTGTGTTTGGTTTTCAGGGCCGCCCTGGCCTCTGCCCACCAGTGCCACCCCCTTCCTCAGACCCTCAGTGTGCTGAAGAGCACCCCTCAGGTGAGGGGCATGCACACCATCATCAGGTAAAGCTCCTGCCACGGCTCCCAGGGTGAGATGGGGCTCGGCTGCCACTGGGGTGGGCTTGGTTGTCTTTGGGCTCCCCAGTCCTACTCCTGCCTGTCCTCACAGCCTGGGGACACAAGGCAGGGGTGGTGGCCTCTGCATCGAGGAGCTGTGCAGTTAGTGCTCAGTGGTCTTGCCAACAATTTTATGCTTTTTACCTTAAAACCGACACCACAGTTCCAGGCTCAGATGGTGCAAATAAGCCAGAGAGGGGCAGAGGCTACCTCTGAACTCTGCCAGCATCTCATGGGGCACACTTTGGTCCACAGCTTGCGTGCTGTTACCTTTCCCTTCCCTCTAGAAACAAGGAGACCAGCAGAGACGAGTTCATTTTCTACTCCAAGAGGCTGATGCGGTTGCTGATTGAGCATGCACTCTCCCTGCTCCCATTCCAGGTGGGTTCAGGGCTATAGATGCTGGGTTTCCTCTCTAGTTTCTAACCCAAAACTGCTGGGGAGCCAGGACAGCTCTGGCAGTGCTCCTCCAACCTTCCCCATGGATCAGCCCTTTCCCCTGGATTAAAAAGCACCAGGGCTCCCTGAAGCTGTGCAGTGATGGTGTGGCCATGGGTGACAGCTCTTTGTCCTGCCTTGGTGTCCAAGGGTCCAGCCCAGCCTGTGGCTGGGTGACTCCAGGGCTCCTCTGAGAGCTGTGTCAGAGCTGCTGGTAACACTTCTCACGTGGTTTTTGTAGAGTTGCACAGTCCAGACCCCTCAGGGACACGACTACGAAGGGAGGACATACAGCGGGAAGCAGGTAAGTGGAAGCCAAAGCACTATTGAGACCTGCCCTATGGGGGTGCACTGGAAGGTACAGGGAAGGAGCCCCCTGGCTGCCATTAGGCTGGGTTTGGTGCCTGATGTCATGAGTGTGACACCCTGGACCATTAGGTCAGGCATGTCAGTGACCAAGAGTGCCATCAGCACTGTGCCACTTGTGCCCTCCCAATGGGAGGCAGCCTGGACTGGGAGCAGCACAGCCCTCTTGGAAGGGATGTGCTTTGGAGTTACCCATTAGAGTCTCCTGCTGCCAAGACCCAGTGCCATGTGGGGTGGTGGCAGTTCCTACACCATGTGACCACCCCGGCTGTGTGCTGCAGATCACTGGAGTGTCCATCCTGCGCGCGGGAGAGACCATGGAGCCGGCGCTGCGCGCGGTGTGCAAGGACGTCCGCATCGGCACCATCCTCATCCAGACCAACTGCAACACGGGCGAGCCAGAGGTAGAGCCTGGGGCTGCCCAGGACATCTGGTGTTAACCTGCACGTGCTGGGTGACTCAGGTGTTTTCTGAGAGCTCTTCAGTGACCCAGGAGTCGATCTTGGCAGGGGCTGAGTGCTTTGAAAGCTGCTCAGGTGGGCTTTGCCAGCAGGCTTGTGCACACAGGGGCTGCTTCGCTGCCCGAGCGTTTGCGCTGGCTCCAAGCTGACAGCCTGGGTCCCGGGGATAGAGATGAATGAGGGATCGAGAGAAGTGCTTGGGTTACTCCACTCACGTGCAGCCTCTAAGCTGCTCTCTTGTCCTCTGCCCAGCTTCACTACCTGCGTCTGCCGAAGGATATCAGCGAAGACCACGTCATCCTGATGGACTGCACGGTCTCCACGGGCGCTGCAGCCATGATGGCAGTGCGGGTGCTGCTGGTATGCAGGGGGGTGGGCGGGTGGCTGGCTCCAGAACAACCTGCAAAACACCAGCTGAGGGGCTGTGTCTGGAACTGGCTCCTCCGTGGGAAGGATGGTGTCAGGGCACACAGCACAGGCTGAGGTGACTCTGACCCTGAGCTGTCCCTGTGCATTTCCTGTAGGATCATGATGTCCCAGAGGACAAGATCTTCCTCCTCTCCCTGCTTATGGCAGAGATGGGTGTCCACTCGGTTGCCTATGCGTTCCCCCGGGTGAAGATCATCACCACAGCTGTGGACAAGAAGGTGAATGACCTTTTCCGGATAATCCCTGGCATTGGTGAGTATCTGGGTAGGAATAACCTGTGGCAGGGGGATTTTTGGTGCTTCTGGTAGGGAGAGGTGAAGCCCTGGTTGTCAGCAGCAGTTTAGGTCTGGCCTTATTTTACCTGGGAATCCACTGCCCTTCCTGGGCCCTGCTGCCACATGGGTGGGATTGACATGCTGGCTCTGAGAGCTGCCAAGCAGCCATTCCCTTTTAAGCATCGGGTGCCATACCACATAGCATGAGCCTCCTCCAGCCCCAGGTGGAGAAGTCTGGCTGGGACAGCTGGAGCAGCCTTGTGGCACCTCCTTCCCTAAGCTGCCACCTTCTGCAAGTTCACCCAAAACAAGCTCAGCGTGTTCTTCTGTCCTCACCTCTGCTGTGCCAGGAAACACCCTTCCACCGGGTGCTAAACCAGCCTCCAGGCTGCTCCAGTTTTGCTGCCACTCAAGTTTCCGTGCTGTTCAAGCTGTCAGATAAACCTGCTTCTGTCCCCTTGCCTGCTGGGATGAGGACAGGCAGGAGGATGGGTCCCAGGGCTCCTGCAGTGCTGCCCTCTGACTCTCTCTCTCCCCACAGGGAATTTTGGCGATCGGTACTTTGGGACAGATGCTCCTCCCGACTGGAGCGACGATGAGGATGCTCTTAGCACTTAGCTGGATGTGGAGGTGCCACTGGCACCAGGCAGCTTCAGCACCGCACCTTAACCCCTCTGTCCAGTGCAGATTTCTCCTTCCTCTCACCAAGCATAGATATTTTTTTCAAATCTTACATCGGAGATCTAGGGCATATTTTTTCAAAGAAACATAAATCCTAGTTTGACTTTATGGACAGTCGTGTGTCCCAGCATAGAGCAGAGTTAATTTATTTTAATTTAAATATTTGCCTATATAACTTATTGGAGATATTTTATAAAGGACAATAATAAATTTTTTCTCTGGTTTTCTTGAACAGAGCCATTCTTTGTCACTTCCCATGGGCCCCCAATAGGATTTGTGACCCTCTGGGACTACTGTCCTGAGAGGGGAAGATGCCATGAGGAGTGGTGCGAGGTCGAGAATACCACACTCTTGATCCAAGGAAAGACTTGGTGGCGGAAGAGAGGGAATTCCTACTGTCTGCAAGGAGACTGAAGGCTGGATATTAGGAAACAGTTCTTCCCCCAGAGGGTGGGGAGCAGGTCACGTATCGGTCCCAGCACTCTCTGAGCAGAGCTGGGTGACCCTGGTGGAAGGGGAGCAGACCAGCCCCATGAGGGGGGTTCAACCTGAGGAGGCTATGACCCCTCCAGAGCATTTTTCTTTCCTGCAGGATTCAAAGTACCCATGCAACATCTTTGTGCAGGAGATAAATGTGCCAAGAGGAGGAAACCTAATTCTCATCTGAGCATCCCATGCCCAGAGCTGGCTTCTGAGGATCAGGGAAGGCAGCCAGGTGCTGCTGGCACCGCAGGTCTAGGAGGGAGATGGTCAGCCAGGCCCTCACCAAAATGGAGAGTCACCTGGTGATCACTCAGTGTGGGCTTGGGTGTGATGAGCCTGAAATAACCGCCACTGTTCTGCGGCACATTCTGTAAATTCTCAGCTAGATTTAAAAGAAAACACACACCCGAGTTCCTGCCAGCACTTGGTGAAAGAAGGAGCCCCCAGCTAAAAGCCACACTCAGAGCCAGCACTGACACTTGATTAATGTCTTCTAAAAATAGGTCCTTGTGTGGGTGGAAGGAGAGCTCGTGAGCACAAACACGGGAGGACAGGCAGGCATGGGGTGGTTTTGGCTGGGTCAGCAAGTGAGCAGTGGTGGGACAAGGCACGGCAATGTCACCATGTCCATGGAGGAACATATCTGAACCCAGAGTCCTTTGGGCTGCAGCTGCCAGTGCAGGAGCTCGGTGCTGGAGGAGCCTGGTGGCATCTTTCTAGACCATGCTCAATGCCATGAACGAATGCCACTGTCATCCTTTGTACATAAAGCTACAGTAGACCTTGTTTGAGCAGAACTGTGGGTGTCCTTCAGGAAGACAGGAGCATGTGTGGATGTAGAGCTTGGTTTGTCCCCAAAGTCCACTCTTGGGGTGTAGATCGTGGAATCCCAAAATAGTTTGAGTTGGAAGGGACCTTAAAGCTCATCTCATTCCAACCCCCTGCCGTGGAAAGGGACACCTTCCACTAGACCAGGCTGCTCCAAGCCACATCCAACCTGGCCTTGAACACTTCCAGGAATGAGGGAGCCACATGTCACTTACTGGTGGGGGGGATTGCCCCTCTCGTCCCCCAGCGTGGTGAGTCTCTTCCCCCAGATAACAAACAACAGGACAAGAGAAAGCAATTGCACCAGGGAAGGTTTAGGTTGGACATCAAGGAAAATTTCTTCACCTAGAGGATGCTCAGGCATTGGAACAGGCTGTCCAGGGAAGTGGTGGAGTCACTATTTTTCCTTAGCAGATCCCTGTTTTGCCTCAGATGAACACTTTCCCCCAAGAGAGACACATTTTTCCTCAGATCTGCACTTCCTCCTCATCAAATGTGCATTTTTCCTTAGTAGGTCCCTATTTTGCCTCAGAAGATCTGCACTTTCCCTTTCCCTCAGTAGGTTGACATTTTTCCTCAGATCTACACTTTCCCCCCAGCAGATCCCCATTTTCCCTCAGCACATCCCCATTTCACCCCTCAAACCCCATTTTCCCTCAGCACATCCCCATTTCACCCCTCAAACCCAGGTTTGCCACCACTCAGCCTGAGCTCAAGATGGGTTTGGACAAGGCTCTCAGGCACATGGTGGGCTTCTTGGGGTGTCCTGTGCATGGCCAGGGGTTGGACTCTGTTCCTGATAAGCCCCTTCCAACTCAGTGTATTCTATGATTATTTTACCTCATTATTTTACCTCAGCAAACCAACTCCATGCCCATGCCAATGCCTCCCCCAGGGTGGCTGCTCCCACCACTGGCAAACATGGCACCTTCCCTCCCCTCCCGCCCCGTGGGCTGCTCCTGCCACTGGAAAACATGGAGCCATCCCTCCCTTCCTGCCCTGCTCGAAGGAGCCATGGCTGATTCATCAGCAAATGCTGTGGCTGGTGGCTTCCACCTCGGGCGGCCGCCTCGCTGCCACCCTTGCCCTCACGCCATGGCGCCATCTTGGATCCATCACCCTCCCTGTCAGCCCGCCATGTTCCTCTCCCTCACCCCGCCATTACCAGCGCTAACAGACTGAATTTATTTTGTTTGCAACAAACTGCTGGTAGCAAACGCCACGTCGGAAACAGTGTGTGGGTGGTGGGCGGCTCCCTCCCTCCCTCCCTCCCTCCCTCCACCTGTGCCTCGCTGCCCCCTCAGCTGGAGGCAGCGTTCCACCCCCAGGCATGCCGGCCATGGGCTGGGGCGGTGAAATAGAACAAAAAACGCTCTTTTTTTTTTTTTCCAAGATATTGATCTAAGATGTTCTGAGAAGTACAGGCCATGAGGCTGTGCCACAACGGGGTGGGGGATGCAGCTCCTCATCAGCCCAAACCGCCTCGCAAGGGTCACGCTATGATTTAAGTGGAAAAAAGGGAAAAAGTGGTGGGTTTTGAGCCCAGCCAAGCCCAGCGCTCCGCAGACCCTGACCAGGACAGACACATACTGCTCCAGATCCCACCTGCTGCTGACCAGCCCAACCAGGAGCATGTGGCACACAGGGACACCATACAGGGACACCATGGTCACCCTCCCCACTGCCTCCTTCATAACGTGGGGACACTGGGGAAAGGGGCTAAAAAAAAGAGAAAAATCCCTTTTTTCTCATTGCAAACCACACTTCCATCTGTCAAATTAAAGCAGTCCCCCCCAAAAAAATATCCCAAAAGTATTTGATTTATTGCTATCACAGGGATCCCATGGGCTCAGATGCATCCCCCTGCCATCGCTGGGGTCCCACCTCCCATGGCAGGACCCCTGCTCTCAGCAACACCTACAGCTCCCAACCATCATTAGGGTCCCACCCTAGGACCCCCACTCTCAGCAGCCCCCTGCCATCATTGGGGTCCCGCATCCCCCAGCAGGACCCCCACTCTCGACAGCATCAGGACTGCCTGTGCTTGATTTCCTACCTGGCATGCAGAGTGACCCAAACCCTGACTGGTCTGACCCATGACAGAGCCTCTTGAGCACCATCCCCTCATCACCAAAAATAGATCTGAGCAGTTAAAAAAAAAAAAAAAAAAAAAACTAACAAAAAAACAACAGACAAAAAGGGCGAACAATGTCTGCTTGACCATCAAAGAGCAACCACAGTCATTTCGAGGTAGGAACATCTGAGAAGAGGACTTTCGGGTTCTGTTTTCTCTTTCTGCAGCAGATGGGCTGAGTTTTCTCTGAAACAGATGAAATCTCTCCTTGCCCAAGGTAACTGTACAAGGAGCTTCAGTGCTGGCAGCTGCTCCACTTGTGGGCTTGGTGGGGCTGGAAAGAAGCCCAAGGATCAATGGGGCAGAAGAAACGACTCATTTTCCTTTTGAACTTGTTACCTGCTTGTTTCTCAAGGGTAAGAGAAACAAGGGGCAGAAAGAGGTAAAACTTGTGGGCTGAAACCTGGGTGCTCACCCCAATACTCATCCGAGAACTCGGCAATTCATTGCAGGAGTGGACTGTGCTGTCAAGGCCACCTCCTTGACCTGAGTTTGTGTGAGCAACATGCTGCAGCTCTCTGGACCTGGCATCTCCAGCCCACAGCTCTGTAGGAAACAATCTTAGCCAATTGTTAAAATAATGCTGAATTTCCATATATTATAAACAAGAAGACTTTTTGCGAAGAGTGGCTGTTGGCATCAAACACCCTGCTCTGCTCACAGAGGCAGATTTTCAGAAGTCAGTATTGAAACAGGGATGGAAAACAGGGTATTTTGAAGCTGTTGTATGAGGAGTGTCATGCACAGTGATCATGCAAGCTGATATATCCAACACGCTACACACAAACGTGTTTACCTGGTGCTACTGGAAAATTTTTCAGCAGCACCTTCGTACTGTCTGCTACTTAGAGAGATCCTTGGCCAAGCTCACTCACCAAAGAGGCATTTATAAACACCCAAGACATTTAAAAGACTTTATTGGACCTCAGTGCCTTTGGACAAGGGCCTGGAGTGACAGGACAAGTGAGAACAGCTCCAAACTGACAGAGGGTAGAGTTAGGTGGGATATTGGGAAGACATTCTTCCCTGTGCAGGTGGTGAGGCCCTGGCACAGACTGCCCAGAGAAGCTGTGGCTGTCCCATCCCTGGAAGTGTTCAAGACCAGGTTGGACAGGGCTCAGGGCAACCTGGGATAGTAGAAGGTACCCCTCCCCATGACAATAAATTTCCAGTTAACATTTGTTGAATCACAGAATCTGAAAATGGTTTGGGTTGGAAGGGACCTTTAAGCTCATCTAATTCCAACCCTCTGCCATGGGGCTGTGCCCCTCCAGACCAAGAGACATCACTTCAGCTGGACCTGGATCCTTTGAAAGCACCTGTATTTTCACAGCAGGCAGTTTTCCACCTTTTTCTTTGCTCTCCTCTGTTCTACAGCCAGAATAACTCTTCTGCACACACCAAGGATAACGAAAGATAAAAATAAATGGCTCCCCTCCAGATCTGCTCTCTTGAAACCATGAGACAGGGAGCTGCTCTCCTGTCTGGGCTTGGCCACACTGGAGGATCTGCTGTCTGAGCTGGAGTGGCTTTAGGGTGGAATTGGATGCAGACAACTCCACAGCTCCTTTTCAGGACAGGATGGAGCTTTGCCTTGTAACTCCGTTCAGAGAAGCAGCATTTAGAAAACACTTTTTTGATGGGTGGGTGGGAAGGAGGGTCTTCTTGTTGAACTGAGGAGCAGGACCTCTCCATCCCTCAGGGACAGGGAGAGGGAAGCCAGAGCAGCTGGACTGGGCCCTGGAGGATGGTCTGCAGCTCCCACACCCAGGGCATCCCTCCTCACC